GATGGAAAGTGTTATAGGTACTGTCCCAGAAATAAAGGGACGCGAATAGCAGAGGGTGGCTGTAGGTGAAACCAGGCTTCGATAGCTTAATCAGGTTATAGATGCCTAATTCTTCCCATTGCTGGGATTTCTTAGCTTCTACTTTCGTGAACCAATTTTGATAGGCAATATCAGAGGTGGGGCAAGATCGAAATGGCTTAAAATTACTTTTTACATAATCCAAAACAAAGGGGTCCTTAGGAGGAACAGTTGGGGTTTCTATGGTATTTGAACTAGGAGATTCTACTGCCTTAGGGGCGTCCATTTTGTTAAATAAGGGTTTGAAGCTATAACAAACTGGGAAAATCGTCCTGGTATCTTTTAATATTTCAAAAACCGTAAGAGGGCCATTTAAAGCTAACCTCTTACCAGCAACGTTGGTAGGAATGAGTACCTGTGACGCATACAGCATTTATTTTTCTTTTGAAATCATCTGAGGGGCAAGAACGGATTGACCTTGGTGAGTGATGATTTTACTTTCCATGGTAGCTCCTGCAGTTTTTCCTTTCTTCTTGGAGACTTTCTTGAGTTGGGATGAAGTAGAAGAAGACATTTTTGAAAGATGTTGAAAGCTTGGATTTTTGTTCTTACGAGAGAAGGAGGGTAAAAGATTTAGAGTGTGAAAAGAAAAGAAAAGATTAAGTTGGTGATGTTTTATAATGGGGAAGTTTAAGCATCCACCGAATAAGGGTGTGATACGTGGAGATCATGGGTTGGTGTGATGAAGAGGTGGCGTGAAGTTAACATGGGTAATAGGCGTGATTTAAAGATAATCATTATTTGTAACTGCACCATGCTGTAAAGTGGCTCCAGGCGGTTAAGGAATCCAAAAGGTGCTATGATTGACGTGACTGGAGTCAAATGCATTAAATGTTATGATGATTCGAAAGTCCCATCAAAATCTTGTGTAGGTGTTTAAAATAGGTATTTCTCAGAGGAATCGAAATACATATTTTAAAGGGGCAATTTGTTGGCTGAAGATTTTGATACTGTTATTAGAAGCCAAATGAATTAAACGTTTTGATCGAAATGAGGTAAAGCGTCATGTTTCGAAGTAGCAGAAGCAGTGTTTCGAATAAGTATGTCAAAGCTTGGAGCTTCGAGTGGCAATTATGGGAACATATCTAAAAGAAGTCTCGAAATAACAACAAGGCTGTGTCTGGGAAGAGCGTTCGAAACAGAGAAGTACCAAAGCATTTGAAATTCAAATGGAAGCGGGACTTTCGAAGTTTGAAAATTATGTGCTGGAGCATTTGGGGACACGTGGAAAGACGGAAGAGGCATTGTCCTGCATATTCTATACGTGGCATAATCCTATAGCAAGACCGTTATGGTCGAATTAGTATAAATAGAAGTCTTAGTATTAGGATTTCGTGTGTCATATCTATTATACAAAATACTCAGTAACATTCAAACTACCACATGGCAAGGGAAACGAATGCAAGAGAAATTTATGTATGATAGCACCATGTATTTCTGATTTAATGAAAACCTTTTACCATTTCCAGCACTTTCCTTTATCCTTTTGTCAAATAACATTTACAAGTTTTCTCATTTACAGTCTTTTCACTTCGAAATCTCTTCTTCAAAGTTTTACATTTTAATGTTTTATTCATATTTCAAGCACTTTATATCTCAGAAAACTGTCATATTTTCCATACCTTTACCTTCAAGTCTTATCCTTCGAATGCACATTTTTACTTAAAGTCATTTAAAGATTTCTTGCATTAAACGCTTTCTTCATATTTCAAACCTTTTACGTTCCAGAAATCCTTTATATTAACTGTTTTGTAAGTCGAAACCATTTACTTCACTTTGTGCAATTTTACATGTCTTTACAATTAGCATTTATTCATGTAACTTAGTTTTCACACACACACACATTTTGATTACATCTTTAGACTTTTAGAGAGAGAAATCGAAATAAGCCAAACACATATACAATATCAACCATGAATATATGTTCGATCGTGAGAGTAGCCTTAATATCCAAGGAGTCCTAGGATCAATCTAGTCGATCCTGTGAGTTACCAGAGGAATTGAATAACAGTCAGAAAGATTATTCGATAGTTTGGAAGACTAGCGGTTGTTTACCAGAAATCACTGGAAACAACTGCACAACACAAAGTGTTTTCCTTCATGGACGGTTTCTCAGGTTACAACCAAATCAAAATGGCGCCTGAAGACATGGAGAAGACAACCTTTGTCACACAATGGGGCACATTTTGCTACAAGGTAATGCCATTCGGACTGAAGAATGCTGGGGCAACCTATCAGCGTTCCATGGTAGCCCTATTTCACGACATGATACATCACGAAATAGAGGTCTATGTGGATGACATGATAGCTAGATCTCAAACAGAAGAAGAGCATCTTAATCATTTACAAAAACTGTTTAAGAGATTAAAAAAGTACAAGTTAAGGTTGAACCCAAATAAATGCACATTTGGGATAAGGTCTGGTAAGCTCCTAGGCTTTGTCGTCATCAATAAGGGTATTGAAGTAGATCCTGCCAAGGTGAAAGTGATACAAGAGATGCCTACTCCTCGTATTGAGAAGGAAGTCAGAGGATTCTTGGGACGCTTGAACTACATTGCCAAATTCATTTCTCACCTGACAGCTACCTGTGAACGAATCTTCAAACTACTGAAGAAAGATCAGGTAGTCAAATGGATTGATGAGTGCCAAATTGCTTTTGACAAAATCAAAGAGTATCTACAAGAGCCTCCTATTTTAATGCCACCAGTCGAGGGAAGACCATTGGTCATGTATCTGACTGTTTTGGAAAATTCAATGGGGTGTGTGCTGGGGCAGCATGACGAGTCTTGCCGAAAAGAGCATGCCATTTATTACCTGAGCAAAAATTTTACCAACTGTGAAACAAAATATTCACTGCTCGAGAAAACTTGCTGCACTCTGGCATGGGCTGCTCGCCGACTAAGACAATATATGCTGACCCGTACTACCTTGTTGATATCTAAAATGGATCCAATAAAATACATCTTCGAGAATCCTTCTCTCTTTGGGAGAATAACAAGATGGCAGATGATCCTAACAGAATATGACATACAATATACTACCCAGAAAGCTATAAAGGGCAGTGTACTAGCTGATCACCTTGCTCACCAAGTTGTGGAAGACTACCAATCCATGAAGTTCTAATTCCCGGATGAAGACATCATGATGGTAAACAATTGTGAAGAATTCAGGCCATATGACAGACCTAAACAAGGATCCCGATGGACCCTGGTTTTTGATAGGGCACCTAACGCACTCGGCAATGGTATTAGTGCAATACTCATATCTTCTGAAGGGTGTCATACTCCATTTACTGCAAGACTCTACTTCAATTGTACAAATAACATGGCAGAATACGAAGCGTGCTTCTTTGGTCTCAAAGCTGCCATAGACTTGGGGATCAAATCATTAAATGTATTCGGAGATTCAGCTTTGGTTATCAGCCAAATCATAGGGGAATGAGACACCAAACACCCTAACCTTATCCCTTACAAAGAACATGTTTTGACATTGCTCTCACATTTTGAGAAGATTACCTTTGAGCATTTCCCGCGAGAAGAAAATCAGCTAGCAGACGCACTAGCCACAATATCATCTATGTTTAAACTTAAATGGGAGAACGAGGCTCCCTAGTTCACCATTGAACGAAGGGATGAACCAGCACACTGTCACGAGATTAATACTGAAGAAGTAGTGGATCAGCCTTGGTTTCACGAAGTCAAGAGGTATCTCGAGGTTCAAAAATATCCTGAAGGAGCTTTAGTCAATGATAAGAAGTTCTTAAGGAGATTCTCTGCTAAATTCTTCCTTAGTAATGGCATTCTTTACAAACGCAACCATGACTCTGTGTTACTTCGGTGCGTAGACAAGGTTGAAGCGGAAAAGATCATGACTGAGTTACATGAAGGCACTTTTGGCACCCATTAGTCATATCTATTAAAACAAACTAATCCCTATACAAATGAACTAGCTAATATGACCTTTCAATTAAAGGATGATGAACTAACTATTTTCAATGTATGCCTCACTCAAATTAGAGAAGCTCTGGAGGGTTTTAAATGTTTAATATATTAATATAAGGCTTAATCATTGTTTTTTTTTTGTTTTCAATCGAATTTTGGTCCTTCTTAATAAATTTAGCGTCAATCACCACTAAACCAACTATTTTATTTTGAAACTTAATAATTTAATAATATGATAATGAATTATATAAAAAAAATGTGATAACCATTGTAAGAATAGAATAATAATTAAAAATATATAATTATTAATATTGACTTGGTCCTACCGAAAACTTCGCTTTCATCTTAGGGACGCGAATGCAACACTACACAACCATCAAACTATTTTTAACTTTTCAACTTCATCAAAACATTATCATCATTCACATTGATTTTTCATACATATCATATCACCAAAGCTATATACTATTAAATCAATAAATAATAAATTCACCTTTTCTTATAAACTTTTCACTAATTTATTTATTTATTCCTCACTAACTCAAGAATATTTTCAAATTAAAATAGTATACTAAATAATATTTTAATATATATCTCTAGAAGATTATGTTTGAATGAATGTCTGAATTGTTGAACAAACAAACAATGGGTTGTCTTGAACTAAAATTAAACAGAATAGCATTTTCCTTTTCTTTCTCAATTCTCTCTCTTTCTCTCATTTTTTCTATCTTCTTTTTCTCAGGTACATTTTCTCTCTTTTTTTTTCCTTCTACAATTACAACATTTATGCACAAATAATTGAATCAATTGCATTCATAATTAATTACACGTTCTTCATTTTGCTGGTTAATTGAGTTTATATTTCAAAAAATTGAGCCAACACTAATGTTATGATGAATTGGAATCATTGGCAGGAAAAAAATAGTGCTTTTGTTTCATAATTTAGGTGGAAGAAAGAAATATATATTGTTGTTGTAGAATATGGGATATCTCAATTCAGTTTTGTCCTCTTCAAGTCAGGTTCGTGCCATGGATGATGCACCTGTTAGCGGTGGTGGTCTCAGGTATTTTTTTTCTTTTCTTGTGTTTTACAATTATCAAATTGTGTTGATTTTGCATGTTCATGACTTGTTTTTTTGTTGTTGTTGTTTTTGAAAAATGGAATGTATTGTGACACAATTTGTTATGATTTGTATGTGTAGTCACAATGGAAAATTCAGCTATGGGTATGCTAGCTCGCCCGGCAAGAGATCTTCAATGGAAGATTTTTATGAGACAAGAATTGATGGTGTTGATGGTGAAATCGTTGGCCTTTTCGGAGTTTTTGATGGTATGGATCCACATGTTTCTGTTAGGAAATCATGCTATGCATTTTTGTATCATAACTTGTTTATAACTCTTTCAGGTCATGGCGGTATTCGTGCGGCTGAGTATGTTAAGAAAAACCTGTTTAGTAATTTGATCAGTCACCCGAAATTCATTTCTGACACCAAATCAGCCATATGTATGTTATCTATCTCCTACTGCTTATTGCAGCATGATCCTTATGCTTTGTGATTTGGTAAATCTATATGATAACTCTTGTTTTTTCTACAGCTGATGCATATAATCATACCGATTCGGAATATCTGAAATCAGAAAACAATCATCACAAAGATGCAGGATCTACTGCATCTACTGCCATTCTTGTTGGTGATCGTTTGCTTGTTGCAAATGTTGGAGACTCCAGGGCTGTTATATGCAGGGGTGGTACTGGTAAGAGTACTAGCTTCATATGTTATTTAGTTGATTTCCTTCCCCCTAAAAGAGGTTGAAGATAATACACAAGACAAACCAGTCATTAGAAATCAGTTAGATGCAGACCTATTTCTGTAAATGGCCTGCTATCATTTTATCGTCTTTATGTGTCAATGTGTTCATATAATATGAATTTTTCTGTTTCTTTTTTCAAGTTTTTAATCTGTTCACTCTCTTTTGGATGGCTATCTTGATATCATTTATCATTGATAAATTATAAAGGTTATTAATTTGATTTAATGCTAGTGCATGAGTAAAAATGGTAAGGATGTATCATGTATGCATGTCTTTGTACTGCAATAGAATCACTTCTAACCTTCCTATGTAGAATGGTTACTCAATATTTTCCTTCCAATTATGATTTCCTATAGCATATGCTGTTTCTCGAGATCATAAGCCAGACCAAACTGATGAGAGGCAAAGGATTGAAGACGCAGGAGGCTTTGTTATGTGGGCTGGTAAGATGAAGCAATTAGCTATTTTTATTTATTTAAAATATTTTTTCTTGTTTATCGCTATTGATAAGCATAACTTTTATAGGAACTTGGAGAGTTGGAGGTGTTCTGGCTGTTTCTCGTGCATTTGGCGATAGACTCTTGAAGCAGTATGTTGTTGCTGATCCTGAAATCCAGGTATTTGTCTACTATGGTTGGTGACGGTAGATTTCGGAATATTTGGGTAGGGAGCATGCATTCCTATGTTTGTCAGAAATATGGCCGTTGCCATGAAATCACAATAGTTATAAATAGTATAGGAAATGTGATGGAGATATTTGCTGTCATGGAGGATCTTTATTCTGGTTTATGGGTGACGTGACGTTAAGTCTTGTTAGTCTTGCTTCGCAGTGTATTTATGTTGCGTGATTGTGGTTTTACAGGAAGAAAAAATTGACAGTTCTCTTGAGTTTCTTATTCTGGCCAGTGATGGGCTATGGGACGTCGTCACAAACGAGGTTTGCAACAATATTCATTTCCTTCTTTTCACTTCTCTCTAATGACTGTTACGAATCCACATCCTAACTACTTAAATTCCGATGAATTAGACCCTGCTGACTAGAGTTGGATTGTTATAAGTTTTAATAATGTCGTACTAAAAAGTTTTACTTTCCCAACTTATCTAAATTTTCAAGTATTCTTCAGGAAGCCGTTGCTATGATTAAACCACTTGAGGATGCAGAGGAGGCGGCAAAGAGACTGATGCAAGAAGCATATCAGAGAGGCAGTGCTGACAATATCACTTGCGTTGTCGTTCGTTTCTTGATGAACCAAGGCTCCTCTTCTCATACTAGCTCTGTAACTAACCGTCCTTAGTTAGACGGTTTGTGCATTGGTCAAGTGGTGGATATCCAAACATATGAAACTTAGGAAAAAACTCAGGTTATATCGGGAATTAACAAATTCAAACTCGTTATTGTTCTGTTAAATAGAGTTGTTCTCACTGTATCACTTACATAAGTTGTAGCTAGGAAAAAAATCATGTGTAAGGAGATTAGCCAGACATAAAATTACTACTACTGCATGTAAACATGGTTCTTTGTTGCCTATTTGATGTTTATAGGGTTAGTTATTTTAGTCCCATGTAATGTATATGTGAATTATGGTTTGTATACGACTAATTATGAGAAACATGTATTTTGATGTATTTGTTTACTTGCCAATTGCAATATTAAACAATAAACACATTTTAAGAATCTCTACTGGAAAATTTTAACTTGTTCTTATGATCATGCAAGCAATTAGGTGATGTTACATCGACAGTAGAATTATTTTGGTTAAAATGTGATTGTTGCCACTATGTCATGTCTTGTTTCAAAAGACAACTACTTCCATTTGTTCCGAACATGTATTGTTAGCTCAATTATTAGTAGAAATGTGGCCATGAAGATAGAATGATGAGCTTGCTCATTATTATATATTTCTTGAATTTGAACTTAAGAGCTAGCTTAGGAGGATTTGCTTTTAAAAAAATTTATAGGGATTTAAGGATGTATTTTAGATCTGTATTTTGGCATGCATAAATCAAAGTGTTTGATTGAAACTTAAGCAATATAATTGAAATCAATCTATTAAGTTTCTTGAGTCAAGAACTATGCTAGAGAATAATTCAAGTCATGACCATTGTAGAATCTAAAAAGTTCTCTGAAAATTATTGAAAAAGAGATTATGCACGTGCAACTTGAATCACACAGTTAGTCTGACTCGAATCAGACTCAGTGAACACAGGGATGCATTTCCAGATCTCCTAATTCAAATCAAAGCAATCTGTCTCAAAACACAGAATTGTCTGATTCGAATCACACTAAAATGGAAATTTTTCTGGTAACTTCTGGAACTCTTATTCGAAACAGCAGTTTATCTGAATCGAATCAAGTGGCTCAAATCGTATAAATGAGTCATATACTTTTGCTTCTTGATTCAAATTACTTGGTTTTCTGATTCCAATCATAACTCTTGCTTTTGACTCAAATCATACACCGTTTTTCTCTCATTTTTGAGTTAGATCTCCAACACATATAAATATCATTTTCTCTCAAAACCTTCACAATGTTAGAAAACATATACTTTCGATATTGATTTGAAAACTCAAGAACCACTTGTTCTCTCATATTTTCACAAGACTTTTAAATATTTCTTAAACACTTGCAAACAAGTTCTTTCATCTTCTACCTCATTCTTTTTTATTGTTGCATGGATCTGAATTTCATCTTTAGAGATTTGTGATTGTTAAGAAGATTCGTTTGTTGAATTTAATGTTTATTTGAAGATTTGGTTAAGACTTCAGAGGTTTATAAGGTGTGTGGCACTACGGCTCGTTTTGACAATTCCAATGAAAAAAAAGAGATTTTTCTCTTCATGTTCATCTTGGTAGTGTTGTGTGGAAGCCTACAGACAAGATAGAAGTTCTTATCAATCTTCAGACATACCAACACTCAAGATACTCGTAAGACCGAGTAAAGATCACAGCAGAACTGAGACTTTGGAAAAGGTTGTTGGGGCTGGAGGATTCAAGGCGATTTTGTGTGATGATTTCACAAATAGTTCAGTTTGTAGACTGTGTATAAGTCAAGGATCCTGATAGAAGATTTTTTATATTTTAAGCGTTAATTTGGATATTTTGATTGTACTAAATTCATATAATTTTGTCACAAATCATAGTGGAAGATCAAAATTTTCAATGGGAAATCACTGAAGGGTGAATTAAGCATAACGAGGACAATAGTTGAACCCCTATAAATTACAGTGTACTTCTCTCTCTCTCTCTCTCTCTCTCTCTCTCTCTCTCTCTCTCTCTCTCTCTCTCTCTCTCTCTCTCTCTCTCTCTCTCTCTCTCTCTCTCTCTCTCTCTCTCTCTCTCTCTCTCTCCTCTTTTAATTTCATAGAAATCGCATGCTAGGTTGTTTCTTTATTGCTGACTAGAATTGCTTGCCATTATAATTTCTTTTGGTAGTGATTTATTTGCAAAAGCATAGGTTTTGTTAGAATCAGAACTTTAAGTTTGTCTTGTTGAAGATTAAACTGAAAACCGTGATTGTAGAATCCACGCAGTCTTGATATTGTAAAAGCACACATCTCGTGTAAATTTGACATAGATTTAATACATCTCATTGTTTTGTATATTTGGTTAATTTAGTGTTTAAATCTTGATTTCTTAGTGAACTGTTTAAGTCATTTCGTGCAAATTCCAATCTATAAGCATAATCTCTTTGTACGCTAAAAATTTGCAAAAATCAGTTTGTTTCTTAAAACTCTGATAAAAGTTTTTGAAACTATTTTCAACTAAGGTTTTAATTTGGAGGTCTATTCACCCATATAGACAGTCGAATACTCCATATTACCGTCCAACTATTGGCCTCACATTTGATGTTTTGATCAGGTATAAGCGACTCAAAGGGAGCGTACAATATATCATCACTTTTTAAAAGCGAAAATTAATGTTATTGGAAGGAAAATATGTACGTACACTTAATGTATGTTGACAAATATCTATGGGTAGAAATTACCAACCGGTCTTTTTTCTCCAAAAACAAAGTCGATAATTCTGCTAAACTCCCAAAATATTGGACAGACGATGAAACCAAAAAGGTATCGTTGGTTTGAAGGCGAGAAATATACTTATCTTCATGTTAAACTCTAAAGTATATTACTTTATCTCACACTATAACAATGAAAAATTAATGTGGACCACTCTTCAAGTCCTTTACGAAGGATCTGAAGACGTTAAAATTCTAAAATTAATATGTTAACAAAGGAGTGTGAAATTTTTTGTATGGAACCAGTGAATATGCGTAATCCATGCAGACTCATTTTCTTCATTTAATCAACTAGTTAGATAAATTGGTAAAGTCATTTTCTAATAAAGGTTGTACTAACAAAATTTTAAGGTCTAAGTGCAAGAAATGACAACCAAAGGTTACAACCATCAAAGAATAAAATGATCTTAGTAATTCAGATATCACAAAATTGTTTGGAAAGGTGACGAACATGACAATGAACTGAACAACTCGCAACAAGAGAAGTAAGCTCTAAAAATAAAAATAATATCAAATAAGAAACACATGATATTTCCTTTAAAGTTTTTGTCTTCAAAGAAAAAGGAAGTAAAGGATACAAGTGATAGTTTCGAAAAATAATATCCTAAATAAAAAGAGACGGGGATATTCGTCAAGTTCTATAATCAATATATGAAGAAACATAAGCTCAAACATTATGACAAATTTTTTATTAATTTTAAGAAGTCTTATTCGCACAAGAAGGATTATATGAGGAAGGGAGAAGATACATGTCACATGTTTTGAATGTGAAAAGTCAGGTAATTACCAAACAACGCGTCAGAGTCTCAACAAACAACATATGAAGAAGGATAAAGAATTCTACAAGACAAAAGACAAACAAGCCAAAGGACATAAAGCCTATATTGCATGGGGGGATCTTCTTAATCTTCTAGTTCAAGTTCATATGATGAACGTACTAACTTGTGCTTGATAGCACACAAGAAAAGTGAAGACTCAGAGGTATATAGTTTTGATCCTGAAGTTAAACCTTATATACAATTGTCGAAAGCATTTAGTAAAATACATGCAGACACATTAAGTGATTTGAAGAAAATTTCTCCAAAGGAAACTTATTTCAAAACTTGAAAAGAATATTAATGATATTAATAGTGTTTTAGATTCCATAAAGAAAGAGTGTGCGTCTCTCATTGATCAGCATTTTAATGTTTCTGATACTTTAGCTGAAAAGTTTGTAAAAATAGATTGCGTTACTTGTCCAATTTTAAAAAATTACAATTAAAATCTTAAAGAACAATTAGTACAATATATTTCTCTATCTACTACTAGTTCTACTTCTTCAAGTGAAAGAGGGATCAATTTTGAGAAAAACCCTCGCTTTGATAAAAGAAATAGAAATAATATTTCATCAAAAGCAACATGTCATTATCGTGGTGACAAAGGTTACATTAAGCCTCTTTTCCACAATAGGAATGTCAAATTTACTAATGGTCATGGCATGGATACCTAAGTATTCTTTAACTAACCCTTCAGGACCCACTAGTTGGGTACCTAAATTTCCTATTTGATTGTTTGTAGGAATGTCATGCCTCTGCAAAAAGGGTTTGGTTCCTAGATAGTGGATGGCCAGGACACATGATGGGAGACACTTCAATATTTATCAAGTTCGATCACAAAGAAAACACTCACCTCATGTATGGATACAATACATGAGGTAAAATATTAGGATAAGTTGTTGTTGGAAATCCCTCCATAATTATCATAGAAGGTGTTTTATTGGTTAATGAGCTTAAACACAAATTTTCTTAACGTTAGTCAATTGTTTGACAAAGGATATTCTATTGTTTTCGATACCTTGATTTAATAATTGAACATAAGGCAAGTAAAAGTATCATGTACATTTTGACTTAGTAAATAAGATAACATCTTGGAATCTAGTTGTCGGTCTACCAAAAATATAGTTTTCTAAAGATAAAATATGTGATGCTTGCTAAATAGGAAAGCAAACGACAATGTCTTTTAAATCAAAAAAGGTTGTTTCAAATTCAAAATATCTTGATCTTCTCTGTTGTACCCCAAAATTTTCCCTCCCATATCTCTCAAGATTTGTCAAGAATGATCTTCAAATTGCTCAAGATGGCTCAAGGATTGTACAGTCTAACCATCTCCTAGGACAACTGAAATTATGGTTTTGGTTCTTTCAAGGAATTTGAGGTTTTCAATGGTTCAATCAAGTCTCATAGGCCTATATACATTCTCAAGCACCTACATGCCAAGTTTCAAGACTCACAGTGCCAATTT